AATTGTATAAAAGCGGAATCTTTCACCCTCTCGACGGAGAGTGTGGAACGAGCCAGGAAAGGTCACATATCTTATACTTGTTCCATCCTCCCACATAAGCCACTTGTATCGTAAAAGTTCTACAATAAATATCATACTCTTTTATATCAAAAGAAAGATAAAGATTATTGAATTACCTACCTTCGACGGATCCAAGGAGCCATAATCTACATCGCCGACCAACAGCTAATTATTCTGGGGTTTTACCTCCTTAACTGCAAGAAGAAGAACCCATAAAAATTGATTTCGACGGAGACATTCTGCCGGATCGAGCCACCTCGCATCACCCAGGACGTCACAGTGTATATAAACCAAGCGTTGTTAACGCAAATTGCAATTCCACGATCAACTTGCTCACCGACCGCACCGATCTTGAACTCCCGCATCCGCTTATCCGCAGCTAGCTAGAACGAGGGTAGAGAGCTTTTGGCATACTCTGTCTTCACCGAGCGTGTTTCGGCAAACGACCAGCTTCCTCATCCACAGGGCTATCCGAACGGGGGCAGAGCGCTTCTCTGTCTCCACCAAGTGTGTCTCGCCGGATACCGTCTCGTTTCCAGACGCTTGCAGCCTTCCACCGAGGGTAGAGCCACCGTGCAGAGTTGCCTTCACCGAGCGCTTCTCGGTGGTTGGACTCGCGCCTTTTTCCTCAATCTAGCCGCTCGCAGCCTTCCTCGGGAGTAGAGCCTCCGCACTCTGCCTCCACCGAGCGCTTCTCGGTGGTCGGACTCGCGCTAGATCGATCCTGCCGCCATCCGAGTGAAATCATCGCGATCTCATCATCGCGTCCGCGCTTCGCGCCATTTTACCGCGCCCCGATCCGCGACGCCGGGAGCACCGGCTCCGCCCGTACCAAGATACCTCGCGCCGCTCGCGGCGAACCGATCATCCGTCGCGATCGCATCACGCGTGTACCCGGCCGCTAGTGCCATCCCGCGAGAATCGTACTCACGCGCGTCTTTCATTGTGCCACGCCGGTTCGCTTCGCGCGTCTCCGCGTGCGTCACGACATTGTACTCTGCGCACACCAGATCCTTGTAAATACTTGTGCATTGCGACTCTGCACCTCGCGAGCATTTGTTTATGTAGAATAAACTCTTGTTATTTTGTTATCAAAGACGATACGCTTCATTCTGTCAGTCCCGCCTCGCTTCTGTTCCTCCGCGCCTCCTTCGAACCCAGCCCAACCGCGAGCTAGATCCGCGTATCAAAGTCAGGTTGTTTTAATGTTATGCGGCTTATTAAAGCCTCGTAATTTGATAAATCTACATTATTTGTACGCATACAATTAAAACGTTGACTATTTGTTCGGAAATTTTCCATTTTGCGAGTGTGTTAAAGTATAATCTTCTATATATTCTCACTGTGTCTTAAAAAGGATGCAAAGTGAATTGTATAAAGCAACGACAAAAATCAAAACTAACCTCAACTTGGCGTTGACAAGAAATTACAGAGCGCGTTTTTAATCGACTACTAATCGAGAAAGATTGACGAAAAGTTCTTATCCCCGCTGGTTTTTATTTTCTCCCCCTCTCCTTTTCCCTCCCCCTCGAGGAGAACGAATAATTAACGTAGAGCAATCTGATTGGCCCACGAATTTACAGAATGCGCGGTACTCCAAATATATTTATCAAATAATATTCATCGTATTGCTATTATTAATTTATGTAATTAATTGTTATAAAATAGCAATATTTAAACGAATTATATATCTCCCTTTGTCTTTCTTTTATGAGAAAATAGACATCCATATTCACTCGACATGATCGAACATCGTCCACTGAGCTATTCGTGGACGTTCGACCATGTCGAGTGAATTTTGATGTCAATTTTCTTATTAAAGGGTGACGAAGGGGATTGAATAACCATATATGTCCAAAAACTAGACACTTTGCCCTATCAAATGGAGCAGAGTTTACCTCATTCCACCCCATTCCACAAACTTTCTTCTTGTTTGAATATTAAAGTAAAAATTTTTTTAATAGTCGAATATGTCGTGTATATTTATTAATATATAATAATATTTAAATGACATAAAACTAAAAGAAATATGTTTCTTGAAACCTAATAAATAAGTTTTGATAGGCATTTAACTCATATTCGCAGTTATGCTTTTGGCAGAGACTTTAGAAAGTAACCTATCAAATTACTGAAATTTCAGTATTCACGAAAATGTCATACTTTATCAGATCACTTTGAGGAAAGAACAAGGGATAAAATTAATTATTATAAAATCAATTAAGTACATTTATTTATAGTTTAGAATATATATATTAACATAAAATCTCGTCAAAATTTGAATCATACGTTTTTAATTTTTTCGTCCAATATCCGGTTCCTGATAGATTCGCCCCACTGTGCGGCGGTCGTTCTCTATTAAAAAGTTATGAACAAAGTTTAAAATATATAACAATTTGTATTAGTGCTAAAGGAAGTAATTTGCTGATGTGTGTATAAACAGTACACATGTAGGCGGAGGGGGGGGGTGGAGGGTGAACCTCCTTCCACGTGAAAAGTTGAAAACCTGAACCGTATAATGATAAACCTCGTTTCACCCTGTAAGCAGGAGTGAGGTGAGGTAGGGTAAACTTTGTTTTGCGTGAAAAATACAATACTGTCTAAACTTGACTTTCCTTTGTTCATATATGTACTATTTTTATATAAAATAACTGCTATATTTCTCAAACTTTTTTTATTAATAACTTTTTAATAAACAACAACCGCCGGCTAAAACCTTTCGAAGGTTACTCAGGATGATGACCTTGACAACATATGTCAAGGTCAAAATCATCGGTCAGGTTTGACCTTTTATTCATATTAACCGTTATTTTATGTACACTTCCAACTAATAAGAAAACTGTATCTAATATCGCACTCTGTTTTCTAAAACCAGAATCTTGACTGAAAACTCCTATAAGAATAAAACTAAACCGCATTATTTTATTCTGTGATTATCGTAATATAATCTCCATGGCCGTGTTCAAAATTTACTTCAACTATCTTTTCTGAAGGAAAACAGAAAAAGTAGCGTTTGACGACATCGAAAAAAAGTGTTCCTAATATCGCACCCTTACACATTTTTATTAAAAATACAATTATGACACACAATATATGCTGGAAATAGAAGCAACTCAAAATAGGGTACATAAGATTCGTTCTTAGTACATACCTTTTTTGCTATATTAATAATGAAAGATATTTCTTGCGAATTTTCAAAACTTCGTTAAAATTATGAACTGCTACGCAAATTTTTATATCACAATATCAATTGAAATAAAACAAAAGATCGTCCAAAGCAGTAATGTTCAACAGTTTCCACTGTTCACTGATAGAATGCAACACGTAACAGTCTCAATATCGTAGATGCGGAATTAGAAACAAGGCGATATTAGGCACAGTTCCCCTATATTCGTATCAGCAGCAATAGCATGAATCGATGTATGTGGATTTACATAAAAATGAGTCAATACTATTGCATAACTATCATTATTTGTACATGACTTTAATTAGGACGTTTTCCATCAGAAAATTTTCCAGTTTCTCACAACTGCTGTTCAACGTTTCTGAAAATTTTCTCTGACGGATAATTTCTATCTGAATATCGCTCCCTGTACAAGACTGCAGTTTCACGAGAATTTCTTTTACATTCACCAAATATTAATAACATACACATATGTCACTTTTTCTGAATTAGAATAATGATTCATTGCTGCTATAAAAACAACGATTAATATCCACTTCAAAAGAAAACGAAGAATACTGATATTATATGTTTACATTGCGAAAGTTGTTTCCAAACAACTTTCAATGTTTATGTTTACACTTTTAGTCAGAGCTTATAAGTACTGCTATTCACACAAGATAATGTTGCAAATATTAAATATCAATAGAAGTGACATTTCTGATAGTGTGTTGAATTTGTTTTAAACTCTCTTTAAATATTATGGGAAAAAAATAGTATGATGCTATTTCAGAATGTAATATTAATTTTTTTCTGAAAAAATTTTTTAATTGCGAGTTGTAGCATAAAGCAGATAAATGCTTATCTTACAATCTTTTTTTTTTCGAAAGCGTTTCAAAAATAGTGCGGGACTGTTACGCTAAACACCTTGTATATTATTTCCCTATTTAAAACTTTAAACCTTATCTTCTCTGAATTAATAATAATAGAGATACGATTCTTTACCTCTAAAATGCAGATATATCACTCTAAATATGAGAATTCTAGAATACAATAAATATTTAGGTTAATGTTAATATTCGTAGTTTTAGATGTACAGATTTTGTAATTTGTATATACAAAAATAAAATAACTAAAAATGAATAGAATTTAATCTTAAATTAATGAAATAAATATGCACTAAATTAAATACAAATATAATATCCATAATACATATGTGATTAAAAAAATCGATATATTTGGTATTTCTATAATTCTTGAATCATTTAAGAAAGGATAGAAGAAATCATAAGGTAATGTGATATCTAAATTAGGCCCGCCAGCAAAATAGTATTTGGATGGCTTTGAAACATCATGAAAATTGACATAAGAAATAATATTGACATGGAGGACATCTGTACAATTCTTTAATGCACATTTGGTCCAGCTAACGTCTTCTTCCTTGCTGAATGCAATTCCAACACCCAATATTTTATAATTCGTCAATGTTTTGGGTTTTGACAACATAGAATAAAGGATATTCACATGCATAGATGTAACTAATCCCGAACATAAGATTCGTTTTCCGATTGTATGCGCAGTTACTATATTTCGTGGTATCCTATCAAACACAACACGCAACCAATCAACAGCATTTTTGCTGGAAAAATTACCCAATTTTGAGACATAAGTACTATAATGTTGACTTATATTTAAGAAAGAGTTCTTTAGCAAAAGACTCATAGTCAGATTTTGTAGCTCCGCGCAAGATATTGTAGTAAAATTCTTGATAAATAATTTGACAGAGCATGTTAATCTAATATCTTCACCGAATACGATGATATGTCTATTAATTCGGTCACATTCTCCATTTTTTTCAGTCAAAGGCAATGTAAGAAATCCATCAGTTCTGTTGAAAAAAATATTATCGCTTTTATTAGCATGAGAAACGCCAACAATGATCGGCTTACCCATTACGTAGCCAGGATTTCCACTACGAATGAAAACTTTTGTGTCATTTAAATCTATCCAATTGTATTCGACCTCGAAATATTGATAAAACGCATGAGAAGCATTTCCTATATTAAAATATGCATCAATAGTGTTGATACCAGCGGAACCATTGTGACCAATCACATATTTCAAACCTTTTACAATGTTGATACAAATCGAGTTCATGCAAAATCCCGATATGCTGGATATGTTAGTTCTGTTACATGCAGAAAATGACTTCAGACAGTAATGAGTTTTTACTGGCAAACAAATGTTGCTTTGACATATCTGAAATTAATGTAGAATGTTATACAGATTCTTCATATTTTTACAAATTTGTTAATAAAATTTACCTGTTTCATAGTAAATGTATTGTTGAATAACGGCAGAGATTTAATAACTGTGAAATTACTGTATGTCACAGTGAATAAAAATTGATTAACATTTGTTAATTCATTTTGTATGCATGTACCTTTCCAATTTTGTAAATATCTTAAAATCTTTTTAAACGTACATATTCCAGCAAATCCAGACTGTAGAAACTCTGAAATAATATTATTAAACATTTTTAATAATAATTATTATTATAAATCTGTAAGAGTTTGTTATTATTAAATTACTGTGTAATATTAATAGTGAAACTCCTATGTAGGGGAAGCAGCTTCTATTACCTTGACCTTGACATATATTATAGAGGTCATACTTCAGAAGGTTTTAGCTGTTGCTTGTTTTTTTATTAAACAGTTATTAACAAAAATAGTTTGAAAAATACAGCAGTTATTTTGAGTATTGAAAAACATAAACGACTAATATGTATGTGGAAATAGTACATGTATGAACGAAGGAAAGTCTTAAAGCAGTGAATTGTTAATATGTTAAACAGTCTTTTTGTTTAAGCAGAGAATAGTTGGCATAGAAAAGTATATATATATATATTCGTAATAGTATGGCTATGAGAGTCAAACGCAGTTGTCTGTGCGTAGATGATTAGAATCACTGATTTATTCCAAATCCATTCCAAATGAATTACAATCGAACGTTTTAGCTCATAGATCGAGCCATCTTCAACGATATCAAACGACGAATAAAATTAAAATATTGCACAGTTCTCCATTCCAACGTGGTAAGTTTCCTGCTTGGAGATTTCAAGAAACGAAATTGAAAAAGACTACTAGATCCATATCTGTAAAAATAGTTACCTTATTACACCAAGTATTAATTAAAAATTCTATGTTAACTTACCAAATAGTCTGGAGAATAAATGCATCAAAATAAGCCAAGCGAGGCGGGTATATAAATGTGGTGTGAACATCACAAAAAAAAAATGTATGATCTGTACAAGGGATTCTGAGATTCCGACGGCACGACACACGAAACGGTATTAACAGACAGATGTTTTAAGTCAAATTATACAATGTGTAGGTCAAATAAGTAAGAAATAAAACTAATAAATATTCGGTGTATAAACAATGTAAATTGTAAACGTGTAGGTTAAGTCAAATTATAAAACGTGTCGGTCAAATAAGTAAGAAAATAAAACTAATAAATATTCGGCGTATAAACAATGAAAATTATAGATGAAGCCAGTAAGAAATGAAACTAAATATTCTATCTATAAGCAATGTCAGGTGTACGACGCAAATTGTGTCTGGATATGGTTTACAATTTATTTAGAAACGTATGCATGGTGCATAAACTCTGTATCCGTTTGCAAGTTGAGACTATTCTTTTGTAACTTGATATGAGACATCTCTGAAACAAGTCGTTTTCCTAAATATCGTCGTTTCCTACCTAGAATTTCAACGTTCTCCCAATCAAATTCGTGGTCGAAATTAATTCTGTGTTCGGTAATAACAGACTAGGTGGTTGTATTTTTGCGAATATGGTTACGATGTTCCGAAATTCTAGTTTTTAATTGCCTCATCGTCTGACCAACATATAATTTTATACACCACATATAAAAATGTGGTGTATAAAATTTCATGTAAAAATTGCGACGCGTCATATGTTGGTCAGACGATGAGGCAATTAAAAACTAGAATTTCGGAACATCGTAACCATATTCGCAAAAATACAACCACCTAGTCTGTTATTACCGAACACAGAATTAATTTCGACCACGAATTTGATTGGGAGAACGTTGAAATTCTAGATAGGAAACGACGATATTTAGGAAAACGACTTGTTTCAGAGATGTCTCATATCAAGTTACAAAAGAATAGTCTCAACTTGCAAACGGATACAGAGTTTATGCACCATGCATACGTTTCTAAATAAATTGTAAACCATATCCAGACACAATTTGCGTCGTACACCTGACATTGCTTATAGATAGAATATTTAGTTTCATTTCTTACTGGCTTCATCTATAATTTTCATTGTTTATACGCCGAATATTTATTAGTTTTATTTTCTTACTTATTTGACCGACACGTTTTATAATTTGACTTAACCTACACATTTACAATTTACATTGTTTATACACCGAATATTTATTAGTTTTATTTCTTACTTATTTGACCTACACATTGTATAATTTGACTTAAAACATCTGTCTGTTAATACCGTTTCGTGTGTCGTGCCGTCGGGATCTCAGAATCCCTTGTACAGATCATACATTTTTTTTTTGTGATGTTCACACCACATTTATATACCCGCCTCGCTTGGCTTATTTTGATGCATTTATTCTCCAGACTATTTGGTAAGTTAACATAAAATTTTTAATTAATATTTGGTGTAATAAGGTAACTATTTTTACAGATATGGATCTAGTAGTCTTTTTCAATTTTGTTTCTTGAAATCTCCAAGCAGAAAACTTACCACGTTGGAATGGAGAACTGTGCAATATTTTAATTTTATTCGTCGTTTGATATCGTTGAAGATGGCTCGATCTATAAGCTGAAACGTTCGATTGTAATTTATTTGGAATGGATTTGGAATAAATCAGTGATTCTGATCATCTACGCACAGACAAATGCGTTTGACTCTCATAGCCATACTATTACGAATTTCCAAAATTTCGAGAGTCCTATATATATTATATATATACATATATTGTAACGACAACGACGATGTCCTCACGGTCTCGCCGGCCGTGAAGGAGCGCGCCGTCGCTTTATTTACTAAAGATCTCTTTATAACTCGCGATACTTCTCTCCGAAACCCAGATGGTAGCTCGACTGAATACTTTTATGTTGTAAATGTTGGGCGCCAGGTGCGATTCCTCGCTCCACAATACACGAGATCGCAGTATTCTCAGGCGTGGGTTTCTTTGATTAATCGCGGTTGGAAGAGGAGAGGGAGCGTAGCGCAATCAACACACCCGAGTAACAAGGAACATAAAGTTATATTTTATTTTAATGCAGATAATAAGTGGAAGGTATGTGTGTTCCACGGCGAACAAGCAGAATTCGAGTACGCGCCGCGTGTCACCCCACGAGCGCGATACTCATTCCGTCGCTGAACTGCACGGCAATCACGGTCGAATTCGTACAAGACTATTCCCCGACATAAATTGCAGCGAATTCTACCCGGACGGTCAAACGCGAAATACTTGAAAACGTTTACTTCTAACAAGCGCACGAGGTCCCACTTTTATTACTATCGCAATTTCCTTACAATCTACCGCGACCGAGCTAGGGGTCTTCACTCCCCACGAGACGCACGAATGGACTCACCCGTAAACGCGACACAACCGTGAGTCATTAATCCCGATGAAACGCACGGACATCCACTTATAATTAGCGCAAACCTAACCGGCAACGATAATCCCGAGGCTCTCACACGCGCGAGAGCAACCTCCCGAAACTACGGCACGGTCAAGCAAACGAAATCACACTCAACGAAATCACACTCAACGAAATTACACGCAACAAAATTACACACGACGAAATCACACACGCTGACTGTCGGCGACCGTACTTTCGCATCCCCGAGACGGGCACTTGCGATCACTTTTTCGCACGGGCCCTCCCGCGGTGTGGTACTCGGTATTATTCAGGTTACGGCGGATTTCATCTATTCTCGCGGCACAACGCGACTCCCGGGAGGGCCTTAGTATTACAATGATCTTACTCTGGGGAGGCTGAGCAGTGGCCTTACAATAGATTCCTTGTTCCGGCAGCTCGTCGTTCGGCTCGCAGGGCTGGATGGTACCAGGATGGCGGCTCGCACGACAGTGGCGTTTCTTCGGCCCGGCGGAACCACGCTGGGCCCGCGCGCGCCCGCGCGCGCCGGTTTCCCTAGCCCGGTCGGTGCTGCGCCCTGGCCTGCCAGCGATTCCTCTAGGCGGTCGCCGTGCCTTGCGAGGGCACCCCCCGCATCCGCTGTCGTCCGCCGGCGATAGTTTTAAAGCCCGCCTGTGTGAGACCGGCTGTCCAGGCCGCGACTCATCATCTGGTTGTTCGACGGCCAGGCTGGACGGTCCATGGCTCGTCGACCGGCGGCGGTTCCCCGGTGGTGACCCCGTTCCTCGACGGGGACCTTTGTCGGGGCGTCCCCCCTCTCGGGTTCTCCGTTTCCGGGCTGCAGTGCTGTTGTGCGGGTTATGTGGGTGCCTTGACAGGTCAGCGGCTGCTCCGGCTGTGGACTCCAGCGTGATCCGTCCGTCGACCGTCCGTCCTTGGAAGCTCCCTGCTGTCCAGCTGTAAATCCCTCGGTGCGGCATACGCCGTTACAAACTCCGTGACCTTGGCCATCTGCTCCGCGCTCCCTCGATACCTGTAACGCTCGTAACAGATCTTAATTCTAACTTAAACGTTCGCCCTCCGCCCGCCCCGGGCGGAGGCACCATCCCTGACGCCTCCCTCGGCCGATCTCCCATCTGGGGTGAGGGACGTGACATTTGTCACGTCACAATATATATATATATATATATACAATTTTATGTGTTAGAAAACATGAATACAAAGTATTTTCTGCTTTAACCATAATTGTATGATTATAATTGTAAATATTATTTATTGAATGCATGGGCAAAACAGGGATTCCGCCCACATGTACGTACACGAAATAGATCTATAAGGGAATTAATTTGCTAATATGTGTTGTCACGACTTTTTCACTCTCGGAGCGGTCTAGGACGTGTGCCGGATCAAAAGGGGAAAAGGAGAGAGAGGTGATAGGCCTCTCCGACGATTCGCTCGCACCTCCGACACTTCCCGAAACGATTTCAATGTTGGGCGCCAGGCGCGTAAATTCGCGTCCGCGAAACTGCGAGAAACAAAAAAAAAGGGAAGACGCAAAACGAAGTAAGTCGGTGTGCGAGGAAATGGCTATCTCGACCTAAGGGCTGGGGGCGAGGTTGATGAAGGGCATTATATTATAGGGCGCGATATTCGGCGGGGTGACACACAATAAATAAGGCCACGAACTCAAGCGATTAACAAGTCAAGAATAACATTTATTCTTTAGTAATTCTCGGTTGAAACAATAAATGCCAATTTG